TAATGCGGTCAAAACGCTGGCGTAATGAATAATTGGTCATTTATAAAGCGAAGCACTGCAATCAAATGAAGGTGATTTAAAGCATTTTATGGTTTTGCAACCGCAATATCTACATAGCACCAATTAAGAATATGTACCTTCTCTGATTTATCATAGCCGGGTGTCCGGGAGTAATTAATGCTCTGTTCACCAGTTGGATTGTCTTACTGGTTTTTCGATTGAGAAAGTCGATATCGATAATTCACTTTGTTTAGAGATTTGTTCCGAATTATTGCGAATTTTTAAGCACTACTTACGTGCACCGTTTTCGTTGTAACATTGGGACAAACACATGTTCAGACCTACTTCACGTCTCCTGTACAGAGAAGAATGAAACGTGTCTTAACTTGATGATGGAATGGGACAGTGAAAGGAAGGAAATGTCGGGAAGTGGAGCTCTTTGACGAATATTCAGAAACGAAGTTTAAATGAGGCATCCCATATGTCACTTAAAAATATATTACTGTTTGTGAATTGCGTTAATTGCTGTGTGAAGCAGCTTTAATAACGACCATTTCTTGACACACTGAACGAAACATAGTCACACAATAATTTAGATGCTTCTCAGTGGTTAAGGCGAAACACCGGATGAAACTGCATGAATATAAGTGCAAACGCTCCAGGAATATTCATAAACGACATGACTAGAGTATCGTGAGTGGAGTATCATCATCACTAGTATGAGTCATTTATCGCCTAACAGAGTTTTGACATATGTTACCAGGCTAAGTAATTGAATTTGTACTATTTTTGCAGTAATTCAAAATTTTTTGATGAACATTTTGGCAGAAACAAGTTCGACTTGAAACGAGGTTACTAGCTATAGAAAGAATATGACATATGTGTACCCCAAAGTTAATGGTTCTTAATGATGATGACCTAGTGGCTCGTTGGCTTGTAGGTTCAGATGATAGCTTCGGTCAAGTTCTCATTTGGAACATTGAGTCTCGTGAAATTCTGGCACAGTTTATCAGAGGATGGGCGTGGTTATCGTGGTACTTAAGTTGTGACTTCATCTTGATGGCTTTGGTAATATGACGAATTCAGCGGTTCTATCTCTGTTCGTACAATATAGAGTCTACTTTTAGTTCATATAGGTGTTTGGCGAGATGTATTGTCCTCATCAGCTACAGTATCCGTCGACGTCAATAACTGCTTCAAATCAGTGGTTCGTTGGTAAACGAAACCGTAATCATGAATGACGAAAAATAAATGTTGTTTTCCTGCCGTCTCCAGGTTATCTCTATTTTGACGTTACGTTTGAACGTCATCAAGAATCATCTTTAGAGTAAAGGGCTGATATTGGGTCAACAGCAGCCAACTGTCTTAATATAGTGCAGCGATGTCTGGTGTGTCAATGGTACGCTTGTATAAATCGCTAGTAAGCGAATAATTTGAAAAAGGCTTAACAGCGATGGTAGAAACTCACACCGTTCACTAAATGTTGCCGGTAAAGTGATGAGGAAAATTTATACCTTCGTTTTTCACTTGTGAAATTTAAATCGAAACACTGTATTTTTGCGCAACTCTGCTTGCTGATCTTCACCAGTGAGGACGATATTCAGCGAAAAAGTTTGCAAAACTTAACTTTCATTTAGCGGTTAGCTGCTCGATTATCCGTTTAATTTGGACATTGTTGCAACACCTGATTCAAAGCAATTGTATTTGTTTACAGTGATCAGTGCTGTTTGGCTGAAACGTCGGCAGGCTAATAAAATTGCTGATTTTTGTCTATTCTTTGTGCCTTGGATTAAGTGTCTTGAAGTACCACTTTTATTAACGGGTTTAAGAAATAAGCATAATGTGCGTACGCAGATGTTAAAAGTGGCTGCACACAGTGCTGAATGTACAGATAGAACGATCATTCCCACGTTTGATATGGCAAACCGCGTTTGCTTAGTCAGAAGAGAGTTGGACGCACAACTGAGCGGTTCCGGGTTCGAGCTGAGGTCCGGTCATTTTCCTTCCTTCCTTCTAACTTTCAAAATGAGTACCACTCTGTGAAATTGAAACCGAAGATTACGCACTATGTTTGCCACATAGCCTGCCAAATAGGGCATATATGCCTGAACGTACGGAAATGGAGATCCGCCTCCTACCTGTTAACTGCATGAAATGATGGGTGCCAGAAATGGCCCTGTAATGAAGGTTCAAGGAAGACTGACATTCTAACGGTGGCAAATTTTTTTTCTATTTCCTTCCGATATGGCAAAATATGTTTAATTTGCATGAAGTCTGCACGACTGAGCCTCTTTTCACTTGAACATAAATATCTCGTTAATTAAAAAATACGTGATTATAAGTTCTAAAGGTTTTCATTTTATGATATGTGGCGGTCAACAGTCGTAAGGTAAAATTGACTTTGAGTGATCGAAAAGCAAAATAGGATAAACGACCTATTGAAAGAGAATCAAGTTATGTGCAACTTTATACACATCTTTGTATAAGCGTGCATAAATGCGCAAAATAGTTAAATCCAAATTCTATAAACTTTAAATTAAGCGCAAATAAGAAAACTAGCGTGTGCATCAAGCATTCATCAATTCTTCTTCGCAACCGTTTCTTTCAAGTCGAGATGGCAGTCGCTTCAGGAAGTTTGATCAACAGCTGCAGTATTCCGTTAAATAGAACAGACTTTGAGGCCACATTTTAAGGCGTAGAAAGGTAATCCTCAATGTAAGTTAACCGGATGGACGTCGGCCTGCTTTTTGGCCGCCCGCCTGTCATGTGACTTTGAAGAAAACGTTTGCCTTTCTTATTCCAGATATGGAATTCTGATCACTTTCGAAATCATTTTGGTTGCAATCTCTCTTCCAGGTCAGGTACCTCAGATTGTCGTGTTTTGGAACTTCTAGGCTCTTCTTGTGCTAACAGTCCTTTGAAGAAATTTTGGCCTTTTATTTAAAAGATCGCACTCTTTCGGTTAATGGTCGGCACGCTTGATCGTTTGTGAGGGCAGATATATAGAAATACCTGACGACAGATAACTTCACACTACGGTTCAGCAGTTCTTCCATCGCTAGAAACAAATTTAGCTTCTCCATTACTTTGATCATTTGATTGATTTATAAATCTATTTCTATGTTCTAAGTCTGTGGCGAGTGATGCAACGAGATACCTTCAGTAATGCCATCCTGAGAATGTGAGAAATCTTGCGCACGTCGATGACAATGAATGCACTGTTGGTCGAGCTAGCTCCTAGCATGGTCTTTCAAGCCCTGACTGAGAGTTACGG